CCAACTGGGTCATCTTGAACTCAACGGGCTGGTTCTAAACTCAACCAGTTCATTGTAAACTCAACCGGTTGGGTCTAAATGCAACCAGTTCATTCTAAACCCCAACTGGCTCATCCCAAACTCAACCAGTGTGTTCTAAACGCAACCGGTTGGTTGTAAACCCAACTGGGTCATCTTGAACTCAACAGGCTGGTTCTAAACTCAACCAGTTCATTGTAAACTCAACCGGTTGGTTGTAAACCCAACCGGTTGGTTGTAAACCCAACCGGGTCATTCTAAACCCAAACTGGCTCATCCCAAACTCAACTGGTTGGTTGTAAACCCAACTGGGTCGTCCTGAACTCAACAGGCTGGTTCTAAACTCAACCAGTTCATTGTAAACTCAACTGGTTGGTTGTAAACCCAACTGGTTCATTCTAAACCCCAACTGGCTCATCCCAAACTCAACTGGTTGGTTGTAAACCCAACTGGGTCATCTTGAACTCAACAGGCTGGTTCTAAACTCAACCAGTTCATTGTAAACTCAACTGGTTGGTTCTAAACCCAACCGGTTGGTTGTAAACCCAACTGGGTCATCTTGAACTCAACAGGCTGGTTCTAAACTCAACCAGTTCATTGTAAACTCAACTCGTTGGTTGCAAACCCAACTGGTTCATTCTAAACCCAAACTGGCTCATCCCAAACTCAACCAGTTGGTTCTAAACGCAACTGGTTGGTTGTAAACCCAACTGGGTCATTCTAAACCCANGAAGTTTTAGACTTAAACCTGACCTAAACCCAACCTAAACCAGCCCTAACCCACAGGACCTGGAGAACTTCACTGCCACCAGCTCCTTCTTGCTGCTCAGGTCAACAAAAACCAGAATGGTGGTTTAGGCCCAGCTGGTTTTGGACACCCAAAACTGAGGTTAACTTGCTCCCGGACACCCCAAAGTGAGCTCAAGCTTCTCCTGCACACCCAAAGCTGAGATCAGGTTGGTTTAGGACGCCCAAAACTGAGCTCAAGCCATTCAGAAACCCAAAGCTGGGCTTAACTTGCACCTGGACCCCCAGAACTGAGCTCAGGCTGGTTTTGGACACCCAAAACTGAACTTAATTTACTCCTGGACACCAAAAACTGAGCTCAAGCTTCTCGACACCCAAAACTGAGCTTGGGCTGGTTTTGGACACCCAAAACTGAGCTCAGGCTGGTTTTGGACACCCAAAACTGAGCTGAAATTGGTTTTGGACACCCAAAACTGAGCTGAAATTGGTTTTGGACACCCAGAACTGAGCTCAAACTGGTTTTGGACACCCAAAGCTGAGCTGAAGTTGGTTTTGGACACCCAAAACTGAGCTCAAACTGGTTTTGGACACCCAAAGCTGAGCTCAAACTGGATTTGGACACCCAAAGCTGAGCCTAATTTGCTCCTGGACCCCCAGAACCGAGCTGAACTTTCTCCCGCACGCCCCAGGCCCATCTCCACCTGCCCAGCACCACCGAGAAGAACCAACCCCAAACCCTGAGCTGAGCTCAAGGCTGGGCTCAACCCCACCCATCCCCCAAGGCCTCATTAATTAATGAATTACCTTAATTAGCACCGGGGGATCCCCAAACCGCCCCAGGGAATTGTGGGAAGGGCCCACCTGGAGGCGCTGCTGTTGCTGTTGCTCTTCTTGGCCTTCTTGGGCGGCGGCTCCTTGGCTTTGCTCTTCTTGGTGTCCTCCAGCTCCTCCTTCTTTTTGTGCTTCTCCTTCTTCTTCTCCTTCTTGTCCTTCTCCTTCTTCTTTGGTTTGTTCTGCTGGGGCTGGGACAGCGCCGCCAGCTGCTCGTGCACGGCCTTCAGCTGTGGGATGGGAGAGGTGGGAGGTTGGAAGTTCTCCAGAAGGTCAGGGCCCACCTCGGACTGAGCCCAGGATGCTCAAGCAGAGCTGGGTGCAGCCACGCCTTGGTCATCTCCAAGGTCATGGATGGTAAGCTGGGATTGACCAACCCCATGTGATCACCCAGATCAGTGACCAGGGGGTCCATGGACACCTCCAGGGTCATCAAAGCCAACCCATGACTGACCCCACTGGGTCACTGTCACCTCCAACCATGCCATGGTCATCTCCAGAGTCATCAACTGCAACCTGGGATGGACCAACCCCACCCAGAGACCTCCAAGGTCATCAAACCCAACCCATGACTGACCCCACCTGGTCACTGTCACCTCCAAGGGTCCATGGACACCTCCAAGGTCATCAGGTCCCACCTTGGACTGACCCCAACCTTCTCAGCCCCCCCAGTGTCCTCCAGTCCTTCCATGGGCACCTCCAGGGTCATCAAACCCAACCCCTGACTGACCCCACTGGGTCACTGTCACCTCCAACCATGCCATGGTCACCTCCAGGGTTATTGACTGCAACCTGGGATTGACCAACCCCACCTGGAGACCTCCAAGGTCATCAAACCCAACCCATGACTGACCCCACCTGGTCACTGAATGTCACCTCCAATGGTTCCATGGACACCTCCAAGGTCATCAAACCCAACCCATGACTGACCCCACCTGGTCACTGAGTGTCACCTTCAATGGTTCCATGGACACCTCCAAGGTCATCAAGTCCCACCAGGGACTGAGCCCAAGATTCTCAGCCAGAGTTGGGTGCAGATCTTCCATGGAGACCTCCAGGGTCATCAAAGCCAACCCATGATCCCACCTGGTCACTGAGTGTCACCTTCAACGGTTCCATGGAGACCTCCATGGTCACCAAACCCAACCCATGACCCCACCTGGTCACAAAGTGTTCCATGGACACCTCCAAGGTCATCAAACCATGACCTCTGATTGACTTCAGCCAGTCACTGTCACCTCCAATGGTTCCATGGACACCTCCAGGGTCATCAAACCCAACCCATGACTGATCCCACCTGGTCACTGTCATCTCCAATGGTTCCATGGACACCTCCAAGGTCATCAAACCCAACCCAGGACCCCACCTGCCACCTCCAACGATTTAGGTCAACAAACAAAATGATTCTGGGTTCACAAACCAAACAACTTGGGTCAACAAACCCAACAATTCTAGGTCAACAAACCCAGGGATTCTGGGTCGACAAACCCAACAATTTTAGGTTGACAAACTCAACAATTTTAGGTTGACAAACCCAACAATTTTGTTCAAAAATCCAATAATTTAGGTCCACAAACCCAACAATTTTGGGCCAACAAACGAAACAATTTAGGTCAACAACCCAATGATTTCAGGTTGACAAGACCAACAGCTCTAAGTCAATAAACCCAACAATTTTGGGTCAACAAACCCAACGGTTTTGGGCCAACAAACCCAACGATTCCAGGCTGACAAACCAAATGATTCAGGTCAAAAAATCAAACAATTTCAGGCTGACAAACGCAACAATTTCAGGCTGCCAAACCCAACTGTTTCAAGTCAACGCAGAAATTTTGGGTCAATCAACCAAACGATTCTGCGCTGACAAACCCAACAATTCTGGGTCAACAAACCCAACAATTTAGGTCAACAACCCAATGATTTTGGGTTGAAACCAAAAGCTCTAAGTCAATAAACCAAACACTCCTGGGTCAACAAACCAAATGATTCTGGGTCAACAAACCCAACTATTTCAAGTCAATCCAACAGCTTTGGGCCAACAAACCCAACAATTCCAGGCTGACAAACCAAACGATTCGGGTCAACAAACCCAACGACTTAGGTTGACAAACCCAACAATTTTGGTAAAAAACTCCAACAATTTAGGTCCACAAAACCAACGATTGTGGGTCATCAAACCAAACCATTCTGGGCTGACAAACTCAACGATTCAGGTCAAAAAAAAAAACAATTTCAGGCTGACAAACCCAACTGTTTCAAGTCAACGCAGAAATTTTGGGTCAATCAACCAAACAATTCTGCTCTGACAAACCCAACAATTCTGGGGCCACAAACCCAACGGTTTTGGGGCAACAAACTCAACAATTCTGGGTCAAGAAACCTGATGATTTAGCGCAAAATACTCAACCATTTTGGGTCAACAAACACAATGATTTAAGCCAACAAACCCAACAATTTTGGGTCAATAAACCCAACAATCCTGGGTTGACAATCTCAACAATCCTGGGTTGAAAAACCCAATGGTTTTGGGTCAACCAACCCAACAATGTCAGGTTCACAAACTCAATGATTTTGGGCTGACAAACCCAACGGTTCTGGGGCCACAAACCAAATGATTTTGGGCTACAAACCCAACAATTTTGTCAAAAAATCCAACAATTTTCAGTCAACAAACCCAACGGTCTTGGTCCACAAACCCAACAATTCCGGTTGACAAACTCAACGATTCTGGGTCCACAAACCCAAAACTCCAGATCAACAAACCCAACTATTTAGATCCATGAACCCAACAATTCCAGGTCAATGAACCCAACAACGTAGGTCAAAAAACCCAACAATTTAGGTCAACAAACCCAATGATTTCGGGTCACCAAACCCATCGATTTCAGCTCACCAAACCCAACAATTTTGGTCATAAAATCCAACAATTTAGGTCAACAAACCCAACAATTATCGGTCAACAAACCCAACAAGTTTAGGTTGACAGCCAATGATTTTTGGTTGACAAACCCAACAATTTTGGTCAAAAAGTCCAAAGGTTTAGGTCAACAAACCCAACAATTTCGGGTCACCAAACCCAACAATTTTAGTCAAAAAGTCCAACCATTTAGGTCAACAAAGCCAACGATTTCGGGTCACCAAACCCATCAATTTCAGCTCAGCAAACCCAACAATTTTGGTCCAAAAGTCCAACCATTTAGATCAACAAAACCCAACAATTTTGGTCAAAAAGTCCAACAATTTTGGGTCAATAAACCCAACAATCCTGGGTTGACAATCTCAACAATCCTGGGTCGAAAAACCCAACGGTTTTGGGTGGTTTTGGGTCAACAAACCCAACAATTTCAGGTTCACAAACCCAACGACTCTGAGTCCACAAACCCAACAACGTTGGTCAAAAAACCCAACAATGTGGGTCAAAAAACCCAACAATTTCAGCTCAGCAAACCCAACGATTTTGGTCAAAAAGTCCAACCATTTAGATCTACAAACCCAACAATTTTGGATCAACAAACCCAACAATTTCAGCTCTACAAACCCAACAATTTCAGTCATCAAATCCAACAATTTCAGCTCTACAAACCCAACAATTTTGGATCAACAAACCCAACAAGTTTAGGTTAACAGCCAATGATTTTCGGTTGACAAACCCAACAATTCCGGTCAAAAAGTCCAACCATTTAGGTCAACAAACCCAACAATTTCGGGTCACCAAACCCATCAATTTCAGCTCAGCAAACCCAACAATTTTGGTCAAAAAGTCCAACCATTTAGATCAACAAACCCAACAATTTAGGTCCACAAACCCAACAATTATCGGTCGACAAACCCAATGATTCTAGGTTAACAACCCCAACAAGTTTAGGTTAACAGCCAATGATTTTCGGTTGACAAACCCAACGAATTTGGGTTGACAAACCCAACAATTTTGGTCAAAAAGTCCAACCCTTTAGGTCACCAAACCCATCAATTTTGGTCAAAAAGTCCAACCATTTAGATCAACAAACCCAACGATTTTGGTCAAAAAGTCCAACCATTTAGATCAACAAACCCAACAATTTCAGCTCCACAAACCCAACAATTTCGGTCATCAAATCCAACAATTTCAGCTCTACAACCCCAACTTCTCCAGCTCAACAAACCCAACAATTTTGGATCAACAAACCCAACAATTTCAGCTCTACAACCCCANAAGGTCATCAGGTCCCACCTTGGACTGACCCCAACCTTCTCAGCCCCCCCAGTGTCCTCCAGTCCTTCCATGGGCACCTCCAGGGTCATCAAACCCAACCCATGACTGACCCCACCTGGTCACTGAGTGCCACCTCCAATGGTTCCATGGACACCTCCATGGTCACCAAACCCAACCCATGACCCCACCCAGTCACAGACTGTTCCATGGACACCTCCAAGGCCATCAAACCATGACCTCTGATTGACCTCAGCCAGTCACTGTCATCTCCAATGGTTCCATGGACACCTCCAGGGTCATCAAACCCAACCCGTGATCCCAACTGGTCACAGAGTGTCACCTCTAATGGCTCCATGGAGGCCTCCAAGGTCATGGATTGTAACCTGGGATTGACCAACCCCACGTGATCACCCAGATCAGTGTCCAGGAGGTCCATGGGCACCTCCAGGGTCATCAAACCCAACCCACGACTGACCCCAGCTGGTCACTGTCACCTCCAAGGGTCCATGGTCACCTCCAGGGTCATTGACTGAACCTGGGATTGACCAACCCCACCTGGAGACCTCCAAGGTCATCAAAACCAACCCATGACTGACCCCACCTGGTCACTGTCACCTCCAATGGTTCCATGGACACCTCCAAGGTCATCAGGTCCCACCTGGACTGAGCCCAACGTTCTCAGCCAGAGCTGGGTCCAGTTCTTCCATGGAGACCTCCAGGGTCATCAAGCCCAATCCATGACCCCACCTGGTCACTGTCACTTCCAAGGGTCCATGGAGACCTCCAGGGTCATCAAACCCAACCCGTGATCCCAACTGGTCACTGTCACCTCCAACCATGCCATGGTCACCTCCAGGGTCATTGACTGCAACCTGGGATTGACCAACTCCACCTGGAGACCTCCAAGGTCATCAAACCCAACCCATTAATAATCCCAGCTAAATGTCACCTCCAATGGTTCCATGGACACCTCCAAGGTCATCAAAGCCACCCATGACTGACCCCACTGGGTCACTGAGTGTCACCTTC